CGACCACCATGACATTCATTCCAACCTATTGGACTACTCGTTCAAATTCAACCACCTCTGTGTCCCCATCCAACCTAACCCCTTCACCTGACGTCCCAGCAACAGAGCAACCAGTGAGTCTGATTGTTCTCAAATTGCACCATATTTGTGAGACCAAACTTGCCGTGTTCTCCCAATTCGAATTATCCCGTCTCCACCTCCGCTTTTGCTTGTTATGACGCCGGCCATTTACTCAATCGCCCAAGGACACTCATGGCCAGCAATGGTTTTCCAGTTTTAGTTCATGTCAGCCAACTGAGTCACTGAATTACTCGGACCTCATGCCTATTGTTCCCTACAGGTTGCAAAAGAAACATATTATTATTATTTAATCGAGTACCTCCCACTGTTTGTGACATTGTCCCCTTTTTGCGCAGTCACCACTAGCCGCAACTCCCTCAGTCATGCCCCATTCTGACTGTATACGCATGATCATGCCAGACGGCATGCCACCCACAAGTTGGGAATAAACATTATCATTATCATTAACTTCTGCAAGCCTTATGCTTTTTGAGCCTCGCACTATTTATCCGACAGTAGCACACACGACTTGTGCACCCAACCACCCCTCCAACTCTTCCTAGCTTGATAAGGCCCCACTGAGTATAAGCTTGCTAGCATTATCCCACTGAGGCTTACTATTACCCGATGTGAATCAAACAATTTCACCAGTTCCATCTTCCTCTAAGCGCCTGCTAGACCCTGATTCCCCATCATCCTTCCCCTCATTATGTCCAAAGAAGCGCCTTGCAGGCAAAAGGCAAAGCACTAAACCCAATCATCGTTCGAGGTCGGTCAATAGATTGCCCCAGTTAAATTCAACCTGCTCAGTTTTACTGACCGGCATTTCCCTTCCTGCTGCACCTGGTGGCTGTCTTTCCTCCTCTTCACCGACCTGGCAAATCTCGGTGCTCGTATGCATAAGATGGAGAATAAAGTGATATCCTATCGTATCATGCAACCACTTGCCTGCCTTCTAACTCCTGACCCAAAGTGTGATCCATCAGATCTTACAAAAGCGTCAGCCTTTATTGATACGTTCGCCTCGGACATTAGTCGGCGCATGGAATGCCGTAAACAGGTTTTACTATATAATGTCCCCGACCACATCCCGATAGAACGCACAAAAGCCGCCATCTTGACAGCGTGTAACGTGCATGACACAATCTTTACAGCCCGACGGTTGCGAAAATCAAAACCCCATTAGCGTTGCCCAATACTAATGCAATTCAGATATGAAGACTATGCAACGCGCCTGTTAACATTTCAGGCCCTTGTGTCCTCGACCCAGACATCCCAGACCGTAAAGGTTAAGGCTGCTCGCACCAGACTACAAAGACAGCTCATAAAAAACTCACTCTCCAAACTTCTACAGCCGACTACTGATAAACATCAAACGAATCCATATCTCGTTCAACAATAGGTACCACTAGATGCCCCCGATGTGACTCAGTCGCAGAGTACACATGAAACCAATCCCTCTGAAATTTGCGAAAGTCATATCGCCGATGATACATCTGCACATAGCCGTCGGAGAGCACCAGATTCAACCAACGACTTACCGATCCTGTCAACTGGTCCGGCCTCTTTTACAACCCCCTCCTGTTCCGTTGGACACCACCGTACTCGACATTAGTGTAGTCTGTTATAAACCGATCGAAATCGCAACCCCCTCCAAATGCCGGAGCTGACGCCTTATCCCCTAAAGCTTGAGGCTGCAGTACAGACATTCTCTCATTCCCCCATTACCCTGGAATCGCTACTCGCCCAAGCTCGCCACACCGTGATGTCAGCTTGCAGCCAAATGCCACACAAACCCCCACAACGGCCTTCAGCCCTGCATCTCTTTTCCATGACCACGAACACTCCACTTTTACCCTGGAACACCCGCCTGTGCCTCCTCTGACATCAATTGCACCAACAAATTCACCCCTGTGATGTCAGATGCTGTGTCTTACCAGTCTTTATCCGGTGCTACAATCGAAGATGAGAACACAATCTCTCGCTCCAGACCCCGCGACCTAATGACACATCGCCCCTTCCGACCAAAATGCGCCCTCGGGCTCAAACATCTACTTTCAAAGCCTAATATTGTACGCCCCTGTCTGTGCAAAATCCACGAATTCTTACTCTTCACCTGCCTGAGATCCCTATTCGGAAGCTACCTCCTCTGCATCCTCCGAAGCTATGCGTAGCCTCAGCTTTGCAAACTTTAGAAAGCAAACCAAGCTATACACACCACGTGCTTGGAAGAAGCTCGTATCCACAACGACCCATGACCAGCTACGACCCTCGTCCGTTTCCACTACCCAAGCCACCAGCTCGCGTCCCGCCTGAACACCATTTTCGGCAACCACCCATCCCTCTACAGCCGCCGCCCCTATTGGCACCCTACCCTCCTCCATACCTACTGATTCAGAAGATAACACGGCCGACAGCTCTACATTCAGCTGCATGCTCTCCTCCCAAAATCATTCTATACCCCATACTGAGCCTGATACAGTACCTCCTGCCGTGTGTTCAAGCCTATTTCTACGACGATTTACCCGTCGGCAACCAGTACTGAATACTCCCTCCCAGACTCCGGACCCTGTTTCGTATAATCCAACCACCAGGTACCCAGTCCCTCCAGTGCAGAACCCCACCGTGAGTGAGGTTACAAAGTTCCTACTTAGTACCGTCTGCTCGCCAATGAGTTTTTCAATAATATTGTTCAATGTCCGCTCATTACTGCCCAAAAGCAATAAACTCCTAGCAATTGGAGCAATTGCACGACCAAGTATGATCTGTGTGGCTGGAACATGGCACACGGATGAAACTCCTGTCACGGCCATCTCAATCCCTGGCTATGATACTTACCGCTCCGATAGGAAAAACTCAGGGAGCGGTGTTTGTGCCACCTATTCTAAGTCGGAACTTCTCTTGGATGGATTCCAGAGGTCATTAGATTGTCAATAGAACAGACCAAACGACCTGTACTGGTGGGTTGATTCTATTTACCACCTACCCCCGCCTCCGCTTCTATTGCTGATCTTTCCCGTATCATCTCCACTGCGCATGCCCTTCCTCATCCGTCTAAATTTCTGTTGGGTAACTTCAACCTGCCGGACATCTTCTGTTCCCCCACCACGGGCCACTCCCGTTACGCCGCGCTGCTTGCACAACTTGGTATGGAGGGCTGGTCCCAAATTGTGCGTAGTTCCAGTCGTAGACTACATACTCTGGACCTAATATTCTCCAACGATGGCCATTTGACTACAGCTGCAGTTGCCCACGCTTCCCGAGAAGTGACCACTGCGTCGTCAGTTATGGCCCAACTGCTCCTCTGAGTCCTTCCATGTTTTATCTCCTCTCACCGGATATTTCACAAGCTTTTTCGTCCACACTGGCTCCCCAGGATTGGGACGACATCCTCCTGTCGAGAAATACACACCGCGTCAGTGACATCTTTTACCAAAACCTACTGAATTCTCTTCAACTCGTTTTTCCTGTAAGGCTTTTTACGCCAATAAACCCGGCCACGATAGGTTATTAAAAGGAAATTACACCGGGCTAGTAGAGTATATCGGGAAACTCAGGATTTCTCACCGCTAATTCTCATCAACAAACTCTCCGCTGACCGAGAATCTTTGCGGGTATCTCTCGAACGCCAAGAAGAGAACACCGTCCTCCGATCTTCTTCCCAACCCAAATTACTCAGCCAACTATTCCGTAGGCGGTGTACCCTAAAGAGTCATTCAATCGCTTCTTTGCGCTCCACAGACAGTGGCCTCATCATTGATCCCGTCAACATAGCAGACCATCTGAACGCTTACTTCGCCAACTCCAAACCCATACCCACTGCTGTTTACCTTCAAAGTGTGAATGGACAGGGTAACCACATGACTCTCGGTAACATAACAATCTCCCTAGCTGATGTTTCTTCCCCTCTTCTAAAGATTAAGGACTCTGTTGTGCCAGGGCCGACGGCATTCCACCCTCTATCCCGAAACAAGGCGGCCGAGATATCTGAATCTTTGTATTAAATATTTTCATCCACTCTATAAACTATGGAATCGTCCCCTCCCAGTGCAAGAAATCTATAATCCACCAGCAGCTTAAATCCGGGAGTAGACAAACTCCTTCCGACTACAGGAGAATCCACCATACCTCCCTCCAAATCAGGACCCTTGAACGTCTGGTCAAAGGCGCGTTAATCAGATTTCTCCTGGCCACAAACGCCACAGATGACCGACAGTACGAATTTCTGTCTCAAAGATCCGTAAATGACTGTCAGCTTCACTTTTTCGAAACCGCCACAGCAGCCTACGACGCTGGATACTCCATTGTAACATTCTATCTGAACATCCAAAAAGCCTTCGAACAGGTCCCCCACGCCTCCTTGCTACACAAACTTAGTACCGTGAGCATCAATGGAAACTTATTTCAGTGGTTCGCCTCCTACTTATCAGACAGGAGGCAAATAACGCAAATTGGGGACATACAATCATCTCCACTACCGATCACTGGCGGTGTCATCCAAGGAAGCTTGCTGGCCCCCATCATTTTCTTACCGTACGTCAATGACATTTTCGGCGCCATATTCCATGGTTAGGCTTCTTTCTTTACGGACGATATAAAAATCGCCTACGCATTCCCCTCCTCTGAATAAGTCCTTGCTTTTCACCAGATTAGACAAGACTCAGATTCAATGACTCGCTGGTCAAACGAATCTGGCCTAAGCTTCTCCTTCACAAAATACTGTATAACTTCCAGCCGCTGTTCTCTTCCGGCTGACGCTTTCACAATTAATGGAAATCCTATCATCTATTCCACGGAGATCAAAGATCTCGGCCTTCCATACTCCTGTACTTTTCGCTTTTCCCACCAGATGCAGTTTCAGGTTGCAAGTGCACGCAGCCTCAATTCTTTAATACTGCCCTACTGCCACCTTCCAGACACAACGGTTGCAACATTTAAGCTATGCCTACGACTAATCATGAAATTCTGTCCCGCATTCTCCTCCGTTTACACCCGAAGTTGCAGACTCGCAATTGAAAGTGTCCAACACTCATTTACAAAAAAGCTCCTTCCTCGGTCAAACCTCCTCTCTTACCGCTCCCGCTGTCAAATCCTAGGCCTCGAAACACTGTGGCTTAGACGGTTAAAACTGAATCTAGCTCGCGTAGCTCCTGCAACCTCTTAGTGTTTCCCCCAGCTGGTACAAACTTACGCCACTACTTCTTTCTAGTTTATTACGCTTGCACCTGGGACAGCATCCTGAACAAATGCGAAGCACCACGCATCACCTTACTTGTTCTCAGTGTGTAGAAAAATTCCTCACGTGTGAAACCGCTGCCGCCTTACTTAATAACCGAATACCCTCTGACCACTCTACGAATCAGTTTCAGTGCGCATATGAGTTTGGCGACGTTACAGTTAGTGGAGAAGTAAAGGATTCTGTTATCATTTCTTCCTATCCTCTTGACCCGCTTTGAGCTAATAAAGGACTTAAACGACAACTTGATCGAAATATGCAGTGTAAATGGCCTGGTTACTTTCTGTTTCCCCAGTGAACATATACCTCGTCCTCATCAAGTCCCCACCCCGGATTATTCTATCAGCTCTGTCTAGTAACTGGCGCCCACAGTCCAACTCTAAATGATAAAAACCAAACCAAAGTCGATTTCTTCTTCATTTCATTATCAGAGCGCATTCTGCGCTTATATATATATTTATCCACTTGATGATTTGCCCCACGGAACACTTACACACAACATCGCGGAACGCTTCTGTTAGACATTGCAGCCCACATCAACGCTCCGACACCGTTTAGCCATGGTGCAATCACCGTGAGTATCAATATTCCAGTCCCAACGTCTCATTGACAACTGTCAGTTCACTTCTCTTCCACCACTTGCCTCTACCAGAGTCTGTATGCTGTTTGCTTTTTCGAATTGACTGAGCGGTCTTTACTGGCCTAGCTTTCCCCCGACCAAAAATGGCTGCTGGAGTATTTAATAATGCACGAACCGCACTTACGATTGCTTGGATGGTTTTCCACCTTGCAGATCTGGTAGCATGCACGAGGGATAAAAACCTCGTGTGGTGGACGGAAGCGCCCTGCAGGGAGGGTCGCCCTGTTACTTTGCACCATGGTGCGTTCGCATGCCCACCACCTCTCCAGTAGCACGGGTGCATCGCCCATCGCCAGGAGACTGGCCTTTAAGTTCTGGAAATCAAAAAAGTACTGCTGACTTCTGTTTGTCGCTGCTGATGTGCGGCCCGCCTCGGTTGAGTTATGCACCTGGCAACAGATGAAAAAAACAGGCCCCTCATCTGTAATGAAAAAACAAAAAATTAGAAGTTCACTTATGATAGCCCAAGGATACTCTGCAAGTGCCCATGGCCAACATCGGCGAGCATAACTGTGTCTGCCTCCGTCAGAATAGATGCTACACCGCACCAAAGCCCATTTCTTCATCCAAACATAGAATACACCTACTCACCGCTCCCAGTGGTAGACACTCGCTATGCACCATCTACAGATTAGAGCTGATATCAGTGCTTCGGGGACTTGCGACTATTTCTCTTGCACACACTTTCTCTACTGGTATGACCCAAGTCATGCAATGAACACCAGATTAGCCAGTTATCTTAGAGGTCCACTCCCGCCAGCACTTATGCATCTGATCCCCATACCACGATTCTACGTGCTTTTGTCGGCTCTTACTAGATCCCTCGTAATGTAATGTCGTATGTTAGCAAACTCAACCCCTGGTCGCTAGCCTGCTAAGTACAAATCATCTATATCCTACTCCACATAATCACCTGTCATCACCCTAATTGCAGCGGACCTCAAGTTTTTCTTTCTGTGCATATTAATGCATATTATCCCTTTCTATATCCGCTCAAACTCACTGTTTTGCGAATCTCGTCCCATCCTCTCATCTTCGGAAGTGCCCGTTTCGGATGACCTGGTTAACTAATATCCACTCCACCTGGCCTATAATCTACAACTCCGGGGCCACCAAGCGAACCACAAAAACCCTACAATCCCATATTGGCTTCGTTCCAGCTAACTTTCTCGACCAGGCTGCCCAATGAACTGAACTTCCCCAGCTGAATCATCTCAAATGTGACGTCCGTCACGGGACTGTCCAAAAACTGAAGCATCTCAGGTCAATGATGGCAGGACGCTGCCGTACTCAGTTTGATAGCACACCCGCAACTGTTCCATTCCTCCTTCTGACTGAGCCCTGTTGCTTACTCGTTTCACTGACTCCAACTGCCACCATATCATTCATTCCAACCTGATGGACTACTCGTTCGAATTCAACCACCCCTGTGTCCCCATCCAAACTAACCCCTTCACCTTCCCAACTACAGTTCAACCAGTGAGTCTGCTTGTTCTCAGATTGCACCATATGTTTGAGGCTAAACTTGCCGCGTTCTCCCAATTCCAGTTATCCCCTCTCCACCTCCACATTTGCTCTTCCTGACTCCGGCCATTTACCCAATCGACCAAGGTCACTCATGGGCAGCAATGGTTTTCCACTTTTAGTTCGTCAGCCGAATGAGTCTTTGAATTAGTCGGACCTCATGCTTATTGTTCCCTACAAGTTGCAAAAGAAAAATATTATTATTTAATTGAGTACCTCCCACTG